GTGGCACACTGTAATCCCAGCAATTTTGGAGAACAAGACAGGACTGCACATTTGAGGCTAGTCTTAGCAATTTAGGGAGACCTGCAAGTTCACTGGGCTGGGGATGTAACTCCATGTTAGAGCACCTATGGGTTTAATCCCTAATACCATATCCAGATACACCAAAAAAGATAAAATAGATGATGGTGAATGTTGGACCTATATGGTATTTAACTTGTCTTTTCCTCCCCCCCTCCTTCTCTTTCCCTTTCCACGCCCCCCTTCTTCTTCACATCCACCGTTTCACTAAGTTGCTGATGCTGGCCTCCAAATTATGATCCTCCTGCCTCAGCCTTCTAAGTCCCTAGAATTACAGGTGTGCCACCCTGCCTGACTATATTCTCTTGGTTATATTTAAGAGTGATTTAGTAGCTTAATTTAAATAATGTCTATATTATAATACATCAGAAATCATATCCTATGCCATTAACTAAATTTACAATAAAAAAGTTTAGATTACGATTTTAAAAAGTCTGAGGGAATATAAAAAGTTTCAAGTTTATTTTAGGGAACAAGCAAGCCAAATCTGAAGATCTCTGTCTTAGCAGCCAGGCCTTGGATCCTACAATAAAATGAAATCCTGTTTATATTTCCATGGGTACCATAGCCCTGATTTTTAGAATTGGCCTAATGTGCCTTGTTGTTTACTTCTTCAATGGAGCAGATAGATACTAAAGAATGCTACAAGAAATTCTCAGTGATTAGCTGTCACTCAGTAATAAGGAGAAAATGGTTAGAGTATTTAGCTTTAACTTCTAAGTGCTGACGATTCATAAACCCTCCCCTAGTCAGGACCGCTCCTCTGAGTTTTAGATTTACATTTCCAGGGACATGTGACAAATCCATCTGGGCTGTCTGTCGGGCAGTGTGCCCATATCAGGTCCACTATTCCAGTTCTGATACTGTGATCCCCTTCCCTGCAACTCCAAACTGGCTTCCAGTGAACCTTTCATCTCTCTGAGTTTTAGGCAGCTGGGACTCCCTGCTCCTGCCACTGTGTGGCTGCCACCGCTGCAGCTCCTGGTTTGCCTGGATGAGTAGGAATGAGACAATGGGGGAGAGAAAAAAGGAAACAGATGTTTCTCCTGTTTTCTCTGAGCATTAGGGATCTCCTTTCTTACTCCTTGGTTTAGAACTACAAGACTTCATCTGGGGCTTTTTCCTTGCCTGGTTTGGGCTTCAGGTTTCAGGAGATAATGGAGGGAAAAGATAATGGGAAACTCCCTGCTTGTCAGCATGATTTCAAAATCTGGTCTTCTTTCCCAGTCTGCTTGCTGTGATTTTATTTAAAAATTATTATTATTATTATTTAGTGCTGGGGATTGAATCCATTTCATTTCACTTTTAGAGCTGCCTCATTTATTCTGTCCATTTTACATATGCATTCAGTGGGAAAGACAGGGTTATAGTCTGCTTATCCAGAACTTCTGTATTCTGTATTTTAACTTATTATGGGATAAACATTGTCTATTTTTGTTAGTTAATGGGTGCATGCTCCCCTCTTTACCATCTTTCACCAACGTAATCATTTTTAAGTCTATAGTACAGTAGTGTGAACTATGTGCACCTTGTTGTGCAACAGATCTCTAGAATTTTTTTGTCTTGCAAAACTGAAGCTGTACCCATGAACAACTTCCCTATTTCCCTCTCCTATTTCCCCCTCCTGATAATCTCCTACACCATATTCTTGATTGGGTGTTTTAGTTTCTTCTTAGTTTCTATTATAATTGTGATGGGTATATAGTTAGGAGAATTTAGAAAAATGTCTTTTTTTTTTTTTGTGGAGCCTAGGCCTTCTATGCAAATTCCTATTATAATGAGACTTTTTCCTTTTGCTACCAGATTGTCTCTTAATTTAGCTGAAATTAGTAGCTTTCAAGTAATAAGCAATATCAAGAAGTTCTGTTATACTGTAAAAATTGAATTTGGGGACAGATGTTGTATTTGACCTGTTAGACCAGGTCTGGCCTATAGTAATGTAATTTGAAGATGTATGCCTGACTGTTGTGTTTTTTCTTTCTTTCTTTCTTTTTTTTTTAAAGATGTGGATGGACATAATACCTTCATGTAATTTATTTATTTATTTCCATGTGGTGCTGAGGATCAAACCCAGTGCCTCATGCATGCTAGGCAAGCGCTCTACCACTAAGATACAACCCCAGCCCCTGTCTGTTGTTAAGACCCATCATGATATCTTGCTGGGTGTGGAAACACCTGAGCCCTCTGGTTCTCTCCAGAAGAGTTTGGAAGAATGGGATTCAGGTCAGCACCATGTATTTTGCTGCTGGAACCTGTAAAAGATTCTGCTTCCCTCTCCTCTAGGTATGAGGCAGATGTTGTGATCTTGACAGATCTACAGGCATGCAGATACTTCCAATTCTTTTCATCGGTATATGCTCTGAATTTTCCCCAGAATAGTGAGAATTAAAACCTTTACTTTCTCTCCTGGGGCAGGGACCCTCATCTTTCAATCCACTAAGTCTGCAGAGGGCCGGAGATGGCAGAAAACTTGCTTTTTCTTGTAACTATGGCACGTAGTCTGAATTTTCTGTGTAAATTCACTTGATTCGAGGAAAAAAAAAAAAACAAACCAGAATTAGTTCCAAGTTAGTAAGATATTACTCTGATTTTCTTGAGTGAGGAATAATCTCTCTAATGGTTAGATTTCTCTCCAGAAAAAAAAATGATACCAATTTACATTTATATTAAGAATATATAAAAATATGTATCTCACCACACCCTCACTATCATTCTCATCCTTTTATTGTTGTTGTTGTTACTGGGGATTGAACCCATGGGTGCTTTACCATTGAGCTGTATTTCCAGCCCTTTTTAAATTTGAGATAGTGTCTTGCTAAATTGTTGAGATTGGCCTTGAACTTGTGATTCTCCTGCCTCGGCCTCCTGAATTGTTTGGATTACAGTTCTGAAATCATTTTTTTTTTCTGAAATCATTTTACTGCATTATTTATTCTAGGATCTTTGCCACCTAAAATAATGGTGGTAAAGATCACATAAATAACTGAAATCTAGAAAGACTCCAAAGCCTAAATTAAAATAATGACGTAGGTTTTCTTCTTCCAACTTTTTAATCAAACCAATTACAAATGCTCTTCTTCTTGCCCTGCCTGCCCTCTGGTGGAGTGGCTAAAGAGCAGGCAAGGAGATCAAGCAAACCCTAAAGTGGACTAGGAAAGAAGTTTCAGGTAAGTCTAAATTGCAAACCACCCCTGAATAAGTAGAGCCATTATCTCATGTGTAATAAGTGTGTATTTATTTTTTTGGTTTTCCCAACATTAAATTGGGTCAACAGTATGGGGACAAGAAGGTGTTATTCCTAAGCTGGTGCCTTTCCGTAGGTACTACTCCTTTGGCTTGCTCACCTAGATAATTCCCACATGGGAAAACCATCTCCCCTACCCCCAGTTCTCTATCTGGAAGAGAATGCAGCTTGGTTCAGTGTGGAACACAGTGAACTTGGAAGTGAGGGTGCCATTTCCAGTACTGGCACTTGCTAGTTAATCAAATGCCCTCAGATAACCTCTTAACCTCCTGAAGACTTCATCTGTAAATGAAGAATAGTGATATGAATGGGTCTATTGTGAGATTTAAATGAGATAAAGGTAGTACAAGTGCTGTGTAAACAGCGAGGTACTCTACAATCTAGGACAGTATTGATATAGTGTTGACTCCTCTTCTCTCTGAATCAACATTTGACTTGACTTAGTTGCCTGTGTATTTTAAAATTTTTTTAAAAAATCAGTCTATCCTTTTAATCTTTAGCAAATAAATGGAGGCTTTAGTTTCAGATCCCTAAGAGAAGCTAATTGTGTGTCCTGATGTGACTCAGGTCTCTGTGTATACTCTAGTTTCACTTTCATTTTTGTTTTAATTATAGCATTGAAAAAGTAGAAGGCTTACAATTATGTCTTTCAGAACTAATCATTATTTAGTGATTCTACATTTCAAAAATATTGATCATGTCTTTAATATAAATTATTGGGCTCTTTTAATGTTACCTTGGCCTACTATAAGTTTGTTGACAGCAATGATAATAGTTTTAAGTTTTTTTAAAAAACATTTAATTGAAGCTATAATAATTTAGAAGATGTAAGTATTTAAACACACCTAGGTGTTCAAATTTATTATACTTTTATTTATTATACATATTATTCTGTGTAGCTAAAGATAAATGTGAAAATTCATAAAATTGTTTAACCAGAGAGTTGAGTTCTGCATTCTTCTTTCTGCTGTACACACAATCTCTCATCCCTTCTTCTATCCCACTTTAGTAGGTTATACTAAAAGGAAAACAAAAACAGAAAGGTAGCTATCTGAGAAGTCGTAAAACTGTCAGAGTTGCCTGGTCCAAGTCACTATTTTTCTTGCCCAGGTGTTTACAATAGCCTCCTATCTGATTTTCCTACTTTAGTTTAAAGTTCTTAACAATAGCAGCCAGAATGTTAGAATTCAGGTCAGATAATGCCATTTATATACTCAAGTTCTTCCAAGGGCTTTTACTTCTCAGTCCTCTATCCCTGCCTACATCTCACTCCCTCAGTCCAGCTACATTGATTGGCTTCCTTGAATAGCCAGGACCACCTCAGCCTCAGAGTCTTGCTGTGGGATGCTCTCCCTCAGGTATCTGCACTAGTGGCTTCCTCACCTCTTTCAGATTTATTCATTTTTTTCCCATTTTTTTTTATTGGTGCATTATAGTTGCACATAATGATGGGATTTCTTGCTACATAGTTGTACATGCTCACTGTATAACAATATAATTTGGATAATATCGGTACCCAGTGTTTCCCTACCCAGAGAAGACCCCTTAATAGGGTCTTCTCTGTCACCTTTTTAAAAATTCCAGCTCATACTCTATCCTTATAACCCTTCCTTTATTACTATCTAGCATACAATATGTTTACTTATTTCTTTTGTTTATTATCTGTCTCCCCCTCTAGAATGCAATCCACATGACAACAAGGAGTTTTGTCTGTTTTTTCAACAGTTGTAACTTTAACACCTGGAAGAATGCCTGGCTCATAGTAAGTGCCCAATAAATAATTATTATAAATAATTTCTGAATGAATAAATGAAACAAAGTCGAGGTCCTACTTGATTTGCAGCACTATAAAAATTGCAAAATGTCCATCAAAACTTTACCTAAAAAGTCACAAAACTTTTGGTATGTTCTGGTAAGACCTGTTACTATAACATCCAAGGGGTTGGTGTTCTCTTTCATATCCCTGCCCCTATCCCCAAATATATTGGTCTTTTTATGCTTCTAGAATGAAGATTTCCTTTAATCTATCATTGTTCCTTTTAGTATAACTGTTTAAATCATTCCTAATTTTTCATAAGAGGAGGAAATAAATGAATTACAGTGAAACACCTATCCTATGCTTTCTTTGATGCTATAATCTCCTAATGGACTTAGTTTTGGTTACCCAGTTTCCGACTTCTCTTTTACCCCCATCTCCAAAATATAGATATTATAACCAAAAGATTTTATTTGGATTTCTTGTCTTGCTTTACATGCTCTTCATTAGCAATCTTGCACATTTGATGGTTTCCATAATCTCTTTCTTAGATTACTCTCGAATTTTTAAGCCCAGTCTTGACATTTCTTATTGACCCTAGGTTGGGCCATCATTCAAATTCTCAAATCTCATGTGTCTAAAACCAAATTTATCTTTTTCCTTTAACACTATCTTTTATTCCAGTAATCTGTCTGCTAATGACCTTGCCTTCTTCCAACTTTGGAAACTCTTCTAAGGCTTATAATTATGAAAGCTTACATGAGTTTCTTCAGTGTCAAGTTTCAGTGCTTATACTTCTACAATATCTTTTGATTTGTACCTTTCTTTGTTTTTAGTAGATTTGGGATAAGCCTGAGATTCTGCATTTCAAGTATGCTTCTGAGTTGGCTCAGGTCGCTGGTCCAATTGTTATTCCTTAAGTTGCAAGGGCATGCTCTAGGCTAACAATGACCATCTGAGCCTAGTCTTCTACTTCCTGTTCATAGCTATAGTTACGAAAATTTAATTCTCTTCCAAAAATAGAGATCTGATGTTGCCCAGTATTGCTTTAAAAAACAAAATGGTGCCCGGTGGTGGTGGCACATGCCTGTAATCCCAGTGACTCAGAGGTTGAGGCAGGAGGATTGCAAATTCAAGGCAAACCTCAGTGATAGCAAGACCCTGTCCCAAAATAGATATTAAAAAAAATAAAATAAAATAAAATAAAAAAAGACTGAGGATGTAGCTCAGGAGCAAAATGCCCTTGGGTTCAATCTCCAGTACCACAAAAACAAACAACAACAAAAAACAAAAGCCCAAACAAACAAAAAGAAAAGTTTTGTTTATGTCACAAAAAATTCAGATATTTACAGATAGAAGCCATAATGGTCAATTCAGATTTGATCATTAACACATTAATGTATATCTTTTCAGTTCTTTTCTTGTTGGCATGTAAATATATATTTGTATTTTAAACCATAAAGGAATCATTTATATCTCGTTGCCCAGTGTACAAATTTGCTCCCTAAGTTTGTTGGACTTGCTCATTTTATAAAACTGAATTTTTCCTCTTTTCTCTATATGATAAAAATGCCAGATTCTCTTTTGCTCAGCCTCTCTTACAGCTGGGAACTGGGGCCTTAGTGCAGTCAAGCAGATGCATCCTCTCTGGACTTTAATTCAGGAGCTGGTGACTCAAAGCAGCAGGGATGACGCAGAGGCCACTCTGGCCAGGGCACAGCGGCCATGACAGCTGCATCCGGTTTCCAGTGGCAGGAGAGACAGCTGTTCTGTGGCTGTCCTGCACCCAAGGACGTGGCAGTGGGAGCCATGGGGTCAGTGCTCAGCAGCTGGGGTGGTGACTTCACAGAACCAGCTCTGTGGAATGATTTGGGTGTGGTTCTTGCCTGGATGATTCTTCTTCCCACCTTTGCTTCTTAAATTAGTTTAAAAGTTGTTTTTAGTTTATTAGCAACAAATACTAATGCTGCAAACAGTAACTAGCTCTTGGATAGTTACGCCCTTTCTATGTGCCATGCAGATCTCTGAATGCCTTATGTATATTAACTTATTTAATTTTTACAACAATCCTGAGAGGTAGGGACTAGTAATATCCCCATTTTACAGAGGACAAAACTGAGTTATAGAAAGATTAGGTTATTTGACCAGGGTCACATGACTTTTGTAAAAGGTGACTTTGAAACTAGTCTGGGGTAGCTGTTATGGCCCTAAACTTTTTTTTTTTTTAATTTTTTTATGTTTATTTTTTGTAATTATAGTTGGACACAATACCTTTACTTTATTTATTTATTTTTATGTGGTGCTCAGGATCGAACCCAGGGCTTTGCACTTGCGAGGCGAGCGCTCTACCGCTGAGCCATAACCCCAGCCCCAAGGCCCTAAACATTGTATAACTTATGTTTTTTTCATGTAACAAAATTTCATGAGTATTTTCATTTTATTAAATATTCATCTGGATATTTAAAGTAGCTATATAGTGTTCAAGTATAAGGTTGGCCTGTGATTTTTTTAATCAATTCCCTATTGTTTAACATTAACGGTATCCTGGTAGCTAAAGTCTTTCTTAATATCCATGACTATTTTCTTGCAATATAGTCTAAAAGTGGAATGCTTGGTCAAGGGTATCTAAATTACCTTCCAGAAAGATTGTTCTTATTTGCACACCTGACATATCCTGTTACCCTGAATTCTTATTAATGTTGAATATTGTCCTTATTTTCTTTGTGGCATTGAAAATGACAGATCATTTTCTCTTAAATTCGAAATTCTTTATATATATTTAAAAATACTTCTTTTGGCCCTTTGTTCAAAGTCATTTTATAAATTGTCTTCATCAACCATGGCATAAACTATTTTGGTTGAAACTATTTCAATTCAAAACTTTTCTTTCTCTGGTTTTAATTACTTTTCTAACTAACTTTCTTCCTACAAGTCCTAAATGTTCATCCTAAATACTCATAAGGATTATTTTGTATTAGACTGAACCATATGAATGTGCTACTTTCGGCCTTGAAATTGCAATCTTCCTGCCTTGGCCTCCCAAGTCACTGGGATTATGATGGGCATGTGCCTGGTGCACTAAATGCATTTTGCAAACGCATTTGCCTCTCTCTGCTTGGTGAAATCCTATTAGTATTTTGTGAGGCTGAGTGTATGGGTCAGGTCCTTGTCACTCTTCTCCAGGTCCCCTTTCCAACCCTCTTCACCTTTCCACTTTCTTTCTTTCCTGTCATAGATGTAGAATGGCAGGTTTCAGGGCATTGTAGCTGAGTAGGAAGCTTGGGACTGCTTGGCAGTGGGCAAGCCTCCTTTTGTTGTTCCCTGGTGGAGACTTCTTGTTTTGGCAGCCACAGGGAATGGCAAAATTTCTGGCTCCTCGCAGATGCATAACAGATATCTGTTGAATTGAAGGACTAGTAAGTTTTGAGTACAGGAAATGCCTTATTAGCCAAATAATACTTGCAATTGTCTCCCATGTTGAATGAGAAAGATTATGTGTAATGTCCTCAAATATCTTCTAATTTGGTTGGTATTCTGTTTGGAATTGGTCTTCCTTTTTTTGAATTCTCCAACTCTATGAGTCATCTTTTTTTGGGGGGGTGAGGGTGGGAGGGGGTGAGAGGGGAGGGTACCAGGGATTGAACTCAGGGGCATTTGACCACTGAGCCACACCCCCTGTCCTATTTTATATTTTATTTAGAGGCAGGGTCTCACTGAGTTGCTTAGCACCTTACTTTTGCTGAGGCTGTCTTTGAACTTGCGATCCTCCTGCCTCAGCCTCCCAGCCACTGGGATTACAGGCGTGAGCCATGGCACTCGTTTTATCTTTTCTTATATTTTCAGGTGTGATAATGATATTGCTATTCAATGAAATTATTTTTCTTCATGGCACAGTTCTCAAGAATGAAACAACACAACTCTCTAACTTGTTGAATAAGTAATCAGTGTACTTTCTAAGAGATAAATTCTATTATTTGTTTCCCTTTAACCATATTTATCTTTTCTCTTAGGTGAACTTCCAGGAAACATTAATAATGCTAAAGATACAGTTAAAATATTAAACAAACTACAAGTATTTTTTAAATACATTAAAAATGAGACTTCCCCAAAGTCTCGTATGCTAAAGGCGTGGTCATAAGTCTGTGGCAGGGCTAGGAGGTGGTGGGACCTTTAAGAGATGGGGCCTAGTGGAAGGGAGTCAGGTCATTAGGGGTTTACCATTGAAGGAGGTATTGGGACTCTAGCCCCCTCCTTCCTCTCTTTGGTTTCCTAGCTGTTATGAGGCAAGCAGCTTTGCTCTGCCATATATTCTCCATCATGATGTTTTGTCTTGCCACAGGCACCAAAGCAACAGAGCCAACAAACCATGGAGAAATCTCTGAAACCATGAGCCAATATAAAGCTTTTTTTCCCACTTAAGTTGATTTTTTTCAGATATTTTGTCACAGCAATGGAAAGCTGACTAACCGGGATACTTAGTATAATCAATTTAAGATACACTTACAAGAAGAAAATCATGGAATTATAGGATTTTAAAAAATGGAAGAGATTCCCAAGGGTTTCAGTATGTGCTCTTTGGGGACAAAACACCAGATGAAAATGTTGAGGAGGAGAAAATAGTCTTGAGTTTAGCTTTGGCTCCATAGTCATTCTCAAGTTAATTTGAGTTCTGTCTCAACCCTTTCTCAGCTATGCATCCTGCACTAACCAGTCCTGAAACAAGTTCATGTGGAAGCAACGGCAGTTCTAGTTCTTTTGGTTTATATTCAGAAGGGACTGGGTGCTGCTTTATGTCCTCCTTGCCCCTGAGTCCACCAGGCATCCAGACAGCTCTGGCCTGCTTACCTTTTCTTTCCTGCTTACCATTAGGAAAATGTGCACTCAGTATTTTGCGTTTGGTAAGTGGACTTCTCTAACTAGATCCAAGGATCCAGAAGATCAGTTTGAGATTTGTAATGAGGGGGTGAGGCATTATAATAAAAAGGTAAAAACAAGTGTTGGTGAGA